AGATTTGAATTGGTATTTAATATCTGGGATAAACAGGATAGTTTAAAAAAATTTTTTTTATTGATTTCAGGGAGGAAGGGAGCAGGGAAGAGAGATGGTAACATCAAAGATGAGAGAGAATTATTGACTGGCTGCCTCCTGCATGCCTCATACTGGGGATCAAGCCTTTAACCTGGGCATGTTCCATGACCTTCTGGTTCATAGGTCAATGCTCAACCACTGAGCCATTCCAGCTGGGCAAACAGGATAATTTTTTTAAAAAATTGTATCAGGGTACATGGTTTTAAAAAACAAAGATATGTTTAATGCTAGAAAATTATTCCAAAAAAGCAGGTTGGAAAGAAGCTGTAGAAAAGAAAGTTGCATGGAGCAAGTAAGAGATGGGTTACTCTGCAGGGAACTGCTCCAGTGGAAGCTCAGATCATCTGCAAGATTTGAAGGACTCACTGGATCCTTATCTGCCTCTCCCTACGAAACTCTTGCTGATAAGGATTTTAGAAGGAGGAAAACAGGGAGGTGCCTCAGAACTACTTAGCTCAGAGCCAGCAGAGCTTTTAACTACCTGTCTTTGAACTCCAGGGGAGTTGGTAAGGTGAGGTCTGAAGGTGGCAGAGCTCTTACGGTATTAAAAACATCTGATGAAGATCTGTCCACAGTGAAAGAATTCCTGAGAAAAATATCAGGTCTTCATAGGCCAGTGATGACGAACCTATGACACGCATGTCAGAGGTGACACGCGAACTCATTTTTTTGGTTGATTTTTCTTTGTTAAATGGCATTTAAATATATAAAATAAATATAAAAAATATAAGTCTTTGTTTTACTATGGTTGCAAATATCAAAAAATTTCTATATGTGACACGGCACCAGAGTTAAGTTAGGGTTTTTCAAAATGCTGACACTCTGAGCTCAAAAAGTTTGCCATCACTGTTATAGGCACACACAACCATTGTTCTGTGACTGGCATGAGACACGCATGAGAGAAGAAAAGATGGAGGGAAGCAGGAACACTGTAACTGCCAAGGGAGCTATCCTCTGTTACTGAGCATACCCAGGACTTAGTGCTCCCTAAAACTATGGAACGGATGCCTCAAAGACTAGATTTAAGGCCAACAAAACCAAAGAAGACTTTGCCTGGACCTGAAAGGAAAATGTTTCTGGAACAATACTCTTCAAAGCAGTAAATTGAAAATGCCCATTTTGATGATGTTAAAGAGAGGAGTGTATTCAAAATTATAATTAACACTAGAGGCCCAGTGCACAAAATTTGTGCACTCAGGGAGGGTTCCTCAGCCCAGCCTGCGCCCTCTCGCAGTCCGGGAGCCCTTGGGGGATGTCTGCCTGCCACAGAGGCGGGAGAGGCTCCTGCCACCACCGCTGTGTTCACCAGCTGTGAGCCCGACTCAGGGCTTCTGGCTGAGCAGCGCTCCCCCTGTGGGAGTGCACTGACCACCAGGGGGCAACTCCTGCATTGAGCATCTGCCCCCTGGTGGTCAGTGTATGTCATAGTGACCAGTCATTCTGCTATTGGGTTGATTTGCATATTAGCCTTTTATTATATAGGATTGATTGAGAATTGTGTGTCTTGCAGACTGCTGAGTCTTTACAGGTATTACCTCGTTTCATTCTCATGACAACCCAAACCACTTAACATCATCCCCAATTGCAGATAAGATACCTTAGCTCTCCAAGTAACTTTAACTCCTGTTCAAAGTCCCACCACTGGCAAGTGGTCAAGGTGAGATTTGAATGCCGAGTCTCAAGCTCTATCAACTGGATTCTAAACTCCTATGCTCTGAGGGTTGAATGATTTTGTAGTCAAAAGGCTGACTTGATTGGGAAAAGGAAGAACAAAGAGCACCAGATTCAGAATAGGTAGGATCTAGTGACAGATGTTTTTGTAGCATGTTCACTTGTCTCATATAGATGGGGTTCTTGGGCAAGGCTGTGGAACAGCTGTGGAAACCATGAAACCTCAGGAGTGAGCTGGTGCTGATCATATCAGGTGCCCTCATAAAGCACTTCCCAATAGGGGGCTGATAGAGAATTCCGTGCACTTGCTGTAGAGGCACTAAGGCTGGTTAGGGTGGGAAGCAGGTATTCCAAAAGGAGCCATCGAGCAAGGCCACACAGGAGTGTGTAACCCTAACAAGAGGATAAAGAGGGTGGGTCAACTGATCAGATTTTTGTCCCCAGATGATTCTTAAGCAGAATACAGCTGCTGGTTCCAGGCCACAAAGGTCCAGCCCCATTTCTGAAGGAGTCTGTAATGGGGAAAAGGAGGCTGAAGACAGAGGTGAATAATCTATGAAGATGTCACAAAGTTGCCCAGTGCCCTGATCATGTGTACTACTCCTGCTCTGTGTGGGCATGGCAGCATTGCTCCTCTCAAGTGTATGGGAGTCTGTGACCTTGGGAGGAGGGAAGACCAGAAATACCAGAGCACCCCAGTGAATACATTGTGCATTTCTCCAACTGCAACAATGATGTGTGGATGGGGTGCAGAAGACCTTTGCCTGGGATTGAAGCGTTCTAGAAGACAGACTGTCTCCTGTACATGCTTTGTGCTCAATGGTCTATGTGTTCAGATCTTCCCTTTATCACTTATTATTTCTTTGACCTTGAGAAATTACTTAGCCTCTATGAGTCTAAGTTTTCTCATCTATGTCATAGATATAATGATTCCCACATTATAACATTGTTTTGAGAATAGGTGACAATGTATTGAAAACTTTTAACAGAGTGAATAACATAGAAGGGTCTGATAATGGATTTATTGAAATTTTTATGTATTAGAGAAGAAAATGCTAATTTATGAGCTGGCACAATGTTTCATATTTCATAAGAAGATATCTGAGCCTTCTTTTTAAAGCACAATGCCCTGAGAGGCTCTGGGTAGAAAAGTTGAAATTTTGGGTAGAAAAGGTGAAGAGCATAGCCTGGATGAACTGGAGTTAGAGCATTTTTAAGATGTTTGCTGTGCTTTGGCTGTGCCGTAAACACATTTTATTTCACTTTAACAGCAGAGTCAGCTACCCTCACAGCCACTGGTAGGGCTCCGGGTATGGGTTAGGGACATGCAGGCTTCAGGGCCTGTCTATCATGTGGGAAAGAGTGGTAGAGCGAGATAGAATGCACAAGATATGAGATGCAGTGTGGGATTGGGAATGCTGCCAAATCAAGAAATCAGAAGTAGGAATGAGCAGGAGAAATGGGAGCCTACCAAAAGTCTTTGGAGTAACTACATCACAGCTAGAAGTAGTAAGGGAGTTTGAGCAAATATTCTTCAAATCGTGAAGTACAAGATACCAAAGAAGGTTCAAGGACTTTGAGGACTTATTTTTAAAATATATATATTTTTATTGATTTCAGAGAGGAAGGGAGAGGGAGAGAGAGATAGAATCATCAATGATGAAAATCACTGATGGGCTGCCTCCTGCAAGCCCCCTACTGGGGATCAAGCCCGCAACCTGGGCATGTGCCCTAACCTGGAATCAAACTGTGACCTCCTGGTTCATAGGTTGATGCTAAACCACTGAACCACACCAGCAGGGCACTTTGAGGACTTATAAACAAGTGATACTTGTGTTACAATTATTCTCAGTTGGATTCCAAACTTAATCACGTTGAATTGCTAGTAAAAAATGATGATGGGTCTTGAAGTACTCAGTTTCATCTTTGTTTTCATAAAGGCATTTTTTAAAAAAAATCTTTATAATTGAGATGTGCCTTCTTTTCCTCCCCATTGCCCCCCTCCACCCAGTTCGGCCCCAGGTCTTCGCTACCCTATTGTCTGTGTCCATAGGTAATGCATATATGCACATAAGGTCTTTGTTTAATCTCTTCCCGCCCTCCCACTCCCCCTTCCCTCTCAGAATCATCAGTCGGTTCCATTTCCATGCCTCTGATTCCATTTTATTCACCAGTTCATTCTGTTCAATAGATTTCTTATTCATTTATTTTGATTTTTTAGATTCAATTGTTGATAGATATGTATTTGCTGCCATTTTGTTGCTCATATTTTTATCTTATTTTTCTTCTTCCTCTTCTTAAAAAATGCTCTTCAACATTCTATGTTATAAAGAGCTAATATGTAAATGGTCATCATGCCATCACACTGCGGAAAGAGAAATGGGGACCAGCCAGGCTGCAGCCCAGGAGAGGGACAAGCCACCCACCCTGCAGTCTCTGGCGCCAGCAGCTGCACCTGCGCCTGCGGCCTGGGAGAGGGACAAGCCACCCTCCTGTGGTCCTAGGCGTCAGCGGCTGGGGCTGCAACCTGGGAGAGGAACAAGCTGCCCACCCTGCAGTGCCAGGTGCCTGTGGCTGTGGCCCAGGTGAAGCTGCCTGCCCATAGTCCCCTGTGGCTATGGCCAGCCTGGGTGAAGCAGGCCTGGATTCTGGATGCTTGCAGCTGGCCAGAGGAGGAAAGCCCTGGTCCCAGGTGCCTGTGACCAGCCAGAGGAGGGAATCCTGGGTCCTGTGTGCAGGGTGAAGCAGAGGCAGTTAAGGGCAATCAGGCCAGCATGGAGGAGTTAGGGGCAATTAAGTCGGTAGGGGAGTGCCGGAAGCCGGTCCATCCTTGCTGCTTGACACAGTCGCTGCAGGGAAGAAACATCTGCACAGCATATGTTTCAAGGAACCTGGCGTATATGGCATACTGTTCTTAATATATTTGCTCCCCTTCTTAGCCTTATGTGTTTTAACCAAGGTCACCTCTCTGAGAAAGGTTGTTTCCCAGGTGGGGATTTTTCCCTGGAGTTAGGGAGGGAATGAAACCCCTTAACTGTGCCAGGCGGGTAATCAATCACTTTAACTACGAACAATCATGCTTAAGCTACATAATCTTCACTTAGGATAATCTCCTTCAGTTACTTCCTTGTAGCTTAGCAGAACAATAGGGTAACCTTGGAATGGAGATAAGAAACGCCCTAACCTTTGGAATAGGATTAAAATCAACTGGTATAAGTCCACTGAGTGCGCCAGGCAGCCAGTGCTTTTCCGAGTCGCTCTTCCAAGCTCCGTGTGGTGGTCAGCATGGCCCGTGGAAATCAACGAGAACTTGCCCGCCAGAAAAACATGAAGAAATCCCAGGAAATTAGCAAGGGAAAAAGAAAAGATGATGGCTTGACTGCCTCTCAGAGAAAACAGAGAGACTCTGAGATCATGCGACAAAAGCAGAAAGCAGCTAATGAGAAGAAGTCTATGCAGACAAGAGAAAAATGATGACTGACAATTTGGAAAACCTGGGTACTACTGCCAATTAGGTGTATTATAAGCTCTATGATCAAGATTTTGTAGAGTGAACAGTCATTACATGTTACAACATATCTTTATAAAAACTATTTTAAACTTTAAAAAATAAAATAAAATAAACTGGTATAAATACAGATGTAACAAGACAATAAACATGGAACCTGGCTGGAGAACCTCGCTATGATGATCATCTGAATGCTGTCTCCGTGTCATTTCTTCGCCGACTCCGTCCACACCTTTGGGAACCCCTGGTGTGGCTGTGGCCCAGGTGAAGCTGCCTGCCCATAGTCCCCCGTGGCTATGGCCAGCCTGGGTGAAGCAGGCCTGGGTTCTGGGTGCTTGCAGCTGGCCAGAAGGAGGAAAGCCCTGGTCCCAGGTGCCTGTGACCAGCCAGAGGAGAGAATCCTGGGTCCTGTGTGCAGGGTGAAGCAGAGGCAGTTAAGGGCGATCAGGCCAGCATGGAGCAGTTAGGGGCAATTAAGTCGGATGGACCCCAGCAGGGGATCAGTTAAGGGCAATCAGGCAGGCAGACAGAGGTGGTTAGGGGTGACCAGGCAGGCAGGCACAGGGGTTAGAGGTGATCAGGCAGACAGGCAGGTGAGCAGTTAGGAGCCAGCAATCCTGGATTGTGAGAGGCAGTTGGACATCCCCCAAGGGGTCCTGAATTGGAAAGGGTGCAGGTTGGGCTGAGGGACCCCTGCCCTTTGCATGAATTTCATGCACCAGACCTCTAGTTTCATATAATACTGGTTTGGTGGTGATGAACTTCTTTAGCTTTTTCTTGTCTGTGAAGCTCTTTATCTGACCTTCAATTCTAAATGATGGCTTCACTGGGTAGAGTAATCTTGGTTGTAGGTTCTTTCTATTCATCACTTTGAATATTTTTTGCTATTCCTTTCTGGCCTGCATAGTTTCTGTTGAGAAATAAGCTGACAGTCATATGGGTACTCCCTTGTAGGTAACTGTTTTTCTCTTGCTGCTTTTAGCCCTTAGCACTTAAATTATGATGTGTCTTGGTGTGGCCCTCTTTGGGGGTTCCTCTTGTTTTGGACTCTCTGTGCTTCCTAGGACTGTTTCTTTCACCAGGTAGGGGAAGTTTTCTGTAATTATTTCTTCAAATAGGTTTTCACAGAAGCAGCTCTATTAACTATTCAGACTATACTCTGACTTGATATAGTATCCACATCCCAGACACATGCAGGCCAGGTCACTGGGAGGAAGGGTATGTGTATGTGTGTGGGGGGAGGCTGAGAGGACTTGAGGTCACCTGAGGACAGCAGGGAGGGGAGGCTGGCCGCCTCTCTCCAGACCTGTTCCTGCAGCAGCTAAGCATCCATGGTCCACAGTCCACTCCTCCTGATGCTGAGATTTGCCCCTCCCATCTCCCCCTCACTGGCCATCCTCCACTTTCAGACATGCCTTGTGTCTCCCGCATTCACTCCAAGACCCAGTGGTGGAGGGACATGCAAGCTCTGTTCCAGCTGGTGTGGGGCTAACTTGACTGCCACCTCCCACATGACACAGACCAAGAAATAAATAAATAAATTACACCCAGACCCTGGCAGTCAGAGAGGTCTGGGGGCTCCCTTCCACCCCAAACATGGCCCCCCAGCCTGAGCAAGAAGGGTTGGACCTGCACACTGGGACTGGGACCAGGCCCACCAACCAACTCTCGGCTTGGCCTGGGGACCTGTATGCAGTGTTGTGGGCATACGGAGGGGGGCAGCCAGGGAGGGGGCGGGGGTGTCCCTGAGGCCCACACCACAGCAGCAGGTCAGATCTGCCTGAGCACAGAGTCCCCCCTAGGTCTGCACGGACACACAATATCTTGCTCTCTCTCTTCTTCTGGCACCCCCATAATGTGAATGTTGGTACACTTGAAGTTGTCCCAGAGGCTCCTTACACTATCTACATATTTTTGGATTCTTTTTTCTTCTTGCTCTTCTGGTTGGGTGTTTTTTGCTTCCTCATATTTCAAATCGTTGATTTGATTCTCAGAGTTCTCTACTCTACTGTTGAATCCCTGTATATTATTCTTTATTTCAGTCAGTGTATGCTTAATTTCTGACTGGTCCTTTTTCATTTTTTGGAGGTTTCTAGAAGATTTGTGAGTAACCTTATAACTGTGGTTTTGAACTCTATATCCAGTAGTTTGCTTTCTTCCATTTCTTTCATTTGTGACATGTTTCTTTGTCTCCACATTTTGGCTGCTTCCCTGTATTTGTTTCTATGTGTTGGGTAGAGATGCTATGTCTCCTTGAGTTGGTAGAGTGGTCTTGTGTAGTAGGTGTTCTATAGGGCCCAGTGGTTCAGCCTCCCCAGTCACCTGAGCTGGGAGCTCTAGGTGCACCCCTTTGTGAGATGTGAGCACAGTGTTGTTATAGTTGAGATTTGATTGCTGTTGGTGTCACTGGGAGGAATTGACCTCCAGGCCAATTGGCTGTGAGGACCAGCTGCAACTACAGTGGGAGAGCTGCTGACACCCCTATGTAGCAGGTCTTGCTTCATTGGGGCTTTGGAGCTCACTAAGTCTGCCCCTTGAGTGTGTTGCTTATGGATGTGTAGAGTTGTAATCTGGTTTAGTCTGACACTGACCACTGGGTACACTGGCTCTTGGATCTCCATGTTGGTACAAAGTCAGCCACTGCCTGGGGCCACCCAGCAGGAGCTACAGAGAGATCTTCATATTCCTCCTCTTTGTATTGGGTTTGGAAGTGCCAGATGAGTCCCAGTTATGAAGCAAGGCAGGCTGGTGCTGGTGCCAGGTCTTGGGCCTTTTATTGATAGGTTTGGGGTTCCATGACCCAGCTGTACCCTGTTTGAGAGATTTTAGCCTAAGCCAGGACAGGCCATTTATATGCAAAAGCTGCTGCACTCAGTTTGTGTAGAGAGCACCTGGGAAGGCTTGTGAGCATTTCTTTAATTATTGTCAGCTGAATCCAGTGGCATTGGCAGAGCCACGTCCTGGGAACACACCTTGCAGAGGCAGGAGTGTTGTCAGCTTGACCTTCAGCCCAGGTACCAGAGGGTGGGTTTCGTTATCTAAATCCAGCCAAGCACCAGGAATGAATACAACTCGGGCCCCCCCAAGAATGCACATAATCTCCTTTGTCTTGACCTTTAGTAAAACTTTCTGGTTTTTGCTGTATAAAATAAACACACTGTTTTGGCTCTGGGTCCCTGTCTCTCCATCAGAGGACAATGGTCCCACCTGGCCCCAGCTTTTTCCTGCCATCTCTGTGTCTGTCTCTTTCTTTCATTTTCTCAATCCCCAGCAGCCCCTACTCAGGAACCTGGACCGCTCTCTAGCCATGTTGGACTTGGAAAAGAGAGAAATATTTACAAGTTTGGGTGGGGTTATAAATTGGATGAGGTGGGGTCTTAGGGAATCACCAGGGTGGAGCAAACAGAAATGGCTGCCAGTCAGCCCTGTGACTGGGGACATCCCTGCATATGAACAATGATCCCTGAGCATCTCCACCTGGGAGAAAGCTGCCCCTGAGTTTTTGCCCCGATGCTAGAGGATCAATTCTCCAGAGCCTCGCCCTGGTGCTGGAGCTCAGAGGAAGCAGTACCTTCCTTGTAAGTTCAGTTTGTGGTGTTGGCCTTTTAAGAGAAACAGCTGGGTCTCCAGCAGCCTCTGCATCACTGAGCCCCAACCCCACTGTTTTTTTACAGCCCGTAGTTCTTACTGCCCGAAGGGACTTCTTTTCCCAGTCTGGTGTGGGGCTGGGGCCCCTTGCTCCTCCAGGTGGCCTCTGCTGAGACAATCTCCCTTCTGATTAAAAAAGTAGTACATGTGGTGCCAGACCAACTCGTTCCTTGCCTTCGCACCTCCTACCAATCCCAGTGTGCTTTCTTCTTTACTTCTGTAATTATAGGACTTTCATTCAGCCACCTTTCCAGTGGTTCTGGATGATAGTTGTTCTGTATTTTAGTTGTAATTTTGATGTGGTTGTGGGAGGTGGCAAGTACAGGCATTTACCTATGCCGCCATCTTGAAATCTTCCTGGCATTTGTGTTTTGCTGATGGAGGATACAGAGCAGGCTGAATAGCAGTTCAAATCCTCATCGCTAGAACTGGTGAGTAGGTTACGTGGTAAAAGGAGCTTTGCAGCTGCAATTAAGTTAAGTGTCTTGAGATGAGATCACCCGGATTATTCAGGTGGCACCAATATAACCAATAATAGTCCTTATCAGAGGAAGGCAGTTGTGTCAGAATTAGCAAGAGAAGCTGTAAGAATAGAAGCAGAGGTCAGAAGAGAGAAGATGCTGAACTGCTGTCTTTGAAGACAGAGGAAGCGACCACAGGCCAAGGTAAGCAGGCAGCCTCCAGAACCTGGAAAAGGCAAGGAAACAATTCTCCCCTAGAGCCTCCAGAAGGAACAAGGCCTGCAGAAGCCATGATCTATCCCAGTGAAACTAATTTTGGACTTCTGACCTCAAGAACTTTAAGGTAATTCAAGCTGTTTCAAGCCACCATATCTGAAGTAATTTGTTTCAGCAGTAATGGAAACTAACACATAGGGTGAGTTTTGAGTATTTGGGCAAGAGTGGGAAGGCAGAGTGACAGTGTGGTGTCTGTCCTCTGCCAGGCACTATGGGTTGGCATCTGGTCCTGTGAAAAGAAGAGGGTAGATGGCGGGGGAAAAAGAGTTTGAGGGATGAGGGCAGAGGCAGCAATGCTTAGGGCTCTGGATGAGAGAGTATGACACACAGCAGGAAACAGGAGAGCTAGTGCTGCTCTTAGGCTAAGAGGTTGCTGCTGGATTTGTTAGTAGTCATTCTGGGCAGAGCAGAGGGAAGCTTCAGAGTTGATGATGGGGTTAGGGGTTGGAGGAGACAGGGCCAGGAGAACCAGCAGTGTCACTGGTGGGATAGGACTTGTTTGTAGAAATATTACACATCCCGAAATGGAAAGGTTTGAGGGACACTGATGGAGGGATAAGTTGTTACATGTGCAGGGAAAGCCAGACCATTTGAATTATTACCGTTTCTGTTCCTTCATGTATAAGGCCTGGAGAAACTTGGGTAACAGCAGTTTTAAGAATCTTGATCCATATAGTCAAACTTCTTTCTAGGATTTAATTACACTGCTTCCAGGGA